AAAAAAAAAAAAAAAAAAAAAAGGAGCCACTATGGGCCTGACCCCTGAGCTCCTACAGAGCAACAGGGCTTGGTCTAGTGCTATATCTGTAGTCCTCAGGTGTGGCCCCAGAGAGCCTTTGGGGGCCTGAGAAATTTCCTGAGAGTCTGGGGCTGAGGCACAATGGGAATCTCAGGCTAGACTAATGTCCCATCAAAGCAGGTCAGTCTACCCCATGCATGCACTCCGGGTGTCAGACAAGAGTAACACCAATGGGTAGTCAAGAGGTTGTGAGTCATTTGCTGCTTTCTTGGTCTCAGCTCCCATCCTGGCCTTCCTCTGCCTGTGCTGGGACCTGCTTGCCATGATGGAGGGAGGTGAGGCAGAAGAGCAGGTACTTGTCCTCCACTGCTCTTCATGGGAAGGCTGGGCTCCAGAACCCTGGGAGAAACCTCGCCTCACCCATTCTAATCTGGTAGGCCTACCATAGCCAAGAGCAACCTTCCTTTGCACTGGCCACCCTCCACAATGGAGCTGAGACTCAGGCTTTTCCTAAGGTTAGAGGTAGTTCAGCTTCCCCAGCCCATCTAGGGGCCTAGAGCTAACATTCCCTATTTTTCCTCCCTAGTATCTCAGCCACCAATTTGAAATCCTAGTTCCTGATATCTGGATGGGCTTGGAACTATCAGGTGACTCTGAAAATGGAGCTCTAGAGCTTGGAGGTGGGGCAATTGTGCCATAATCCAGGACCCCAAGCACATGTTTAACTGGAGCCCCTCTACAAAGAACTGAGGTCCTGGAGGGCCTTGGCCTGGAAACATGCTGCTCAAGGCCTCACATTCTAGCTGCACAGGAAACCTGACATCCCCTGAGCTCTTTCCCTCTTCCATCTTGCTTCTCTGGGACCCCTTTTCCATGCTAAGCTTTTTTCCTGTCCAGTGACCTCTTTCCTCTCTGAATCATCCTGTGAACAGATGAGCCAGTGGAGAAGGAGCCCTTGGGCTTTTTCACTCCCCACTCATAGCTTAGATCCTCAGGATGGGTTAAAGGATAAGGACTGCAGGAAGGGAGACAATCCTTTCCCATTGGTATAGAAAACACGGATGTGGAGCACTCCAGGATACTCCACTTATCTCTCTCCCAGCCTCAGGGTTAACACAGTTGTCTACCATATTTACACAAAGATAAAGGTCAGTGGCCAACCATATGAGGCCATAGCTTCATCTATGCCTGCTTTCATAGGGGTAGCCATAAACAGGTTGCCTGTTTCTACCTACCTTTATCTCACAGGCCCCTCGTCTTTGGGCCCCTGAATTTCAGCAGAAGAGTCACCTATTAAGCCCTTTGAGTCCCTGGGACTAAGCCCCTCTCTGGCCTGAAGTGACAGCTTGAGCAACAGTATGGGTGGAGAACAGCTGGGTATCTCTGTCTGGTCTCAGTAAGACACTTACTCTGCTCAGCAGGGAGCTCTTGCTCCAAACCCAAAGTTTTGTGCACGACAGTATACAGTGCTGAGGGCTTAGAGAAGAGAGAGCTTGCCCTGCTCAGGGTAAACTAGGGGTCTCTGAACTATAAGAATTGAGGCCATTGGGGTCCTAAGCAAGGGAAAGTTAACACTGTGATATATATCCTGGGTTGTGGCACCCCATCTCCCACAACAGCAGGGCCCAGCTGTCTCCCTCAGCAGGCAGGGTGTGGGGGAGTGGCAGGTGGCACTTCTCCAAAGGAACATGCCCCTCTAGTGACTACTGTGCAGTGGGCTTGGCAAGTATAAACACCTTGGGCAGTTGGTGCTTCTAAGTTGCTTCCCCCAAAGTGGAGCCAAGGCCTTGCTGTGCTGGATTCTCTCTCTTGAGGTTGCAAGTGCAATGCTGGCAGGGTTGGGAGGTGGGCAAGTGTTCACACCCTGACTCTATGTATGTGTGGTGGGGGATGCTACAGATGGAGAAGGGAGCCCTGGAGAAGTGCTGGGGTTCAGAGGGAAGGGTGAGGACAGGTAGTTTGAGCCTCAGGAGAAATCCTGTCTGCTGTTGATCTAATAGTCCTCAGGGCCCTGTAATCTGACTTGGGCCTTGCCCACTTTCTCTATGCTCTATAGCCATCTGGCGGACCCAGAGCCTTTCAGGGCTTTTGCACATGCTGCTCACCTACCCAAAACTTTCCCCAAACTTTGCTTCTGACAGATTTCCCCCCACCCAATAAGGCCTCAGCAAAAGTGTCACCTCCTGGCTGGGCATGTGGAGTACACCTGTAGTCTCAGCACTTGGGAGGCTGAGGCAGGAAAATCGCCATGAGTTTGAGGCCAGCCTGAACTACATAGTGAGTTCAGGGCCAGCCTAGACTACATTGAGAGACCCTGTTTAAAAAAAAAATTGTCACCTCCTGGGAGGCTTCCTCACCTCTCTAGTCACCTTTGGATCTAAAGCAGTCCTCCATTCCCTCCTATCTTTTTCTCACAACATTTTCCACAGTTTATATGTGAATATTCTTTTTTTTATTGGCTCAAAGGTGAGTGTCTCTGTGTCACTGCTGAGTCCTCTGTGCCCAGCAGGCATGGTACAGAAGGTGCTCCATAAAAACATGCTGTAGAATGGTTGCTCTCATGGGCTCACTGTGCAGTGAGAGACCTATGTGGCCTCCTTCCCTCTCTGAAAATTAAAGGGCAGGAACAAAGTAGAAACACCATATCCTCTAGCCTGGAACAGCCCAGATGCCACTGGGGGTTAGTTCAAGGCCACTAAGCAAGTTCAGCCCCCATGGGCCTTCCCAGGACCTAGGTCAAGTAAGCAGAGGTGGCTCTGAGAGGGGTCGGGGCCTAGACATGCTCCTGTGCACAGGCGAGGACCGTGGATGTCCTGGAAGCAGATTTGCCTCGTTCAAGTTGCCAGGGCCCAGGTTCACGTAGGCTGTGGACAGCTGCACATAGTGGTCCCCAAGCAGGGAGGCCACAACCTGCTCTACTTCTATCACCAGTGCTCTGAAGGTGGGCCGTGCTGCTGGGTCTGCCTCCCAACATCTCTCCATTACTTGGTACCTGCAGGAGGAAGGGGAGGTGAAAGGCACAGTGCACCCTGACGCAGGGCTCTTGCTGTTAATTCCCTGACAGGCCTGAAAGAGAACGCTTGTCAGGGCCTAGCACCTAGCACTGCCCAACCAGAGACAGCTCTTCTCACTGCTATGATTGCTGATGTTTTTCCACCCTGACAGAGGTCCATCCTGCCTCGGAGGTTAAAAGTGATACACAGCTGTAATCCCAGTACTCTGGGAGGCTGAAGCAGGAGTCACAAATTGGAGCCCAGCCTGGGCAATTAAGCAACTTAACAAGACCCTATCTTAAAATAAAAAATAGAAAGGGCAGGCCAGGGATTTAACTTAGTGGTTCTGCCACCTGCCTTGCAAGTGCAAGGTCTCAAGTTTGATCCCCTATACCAAAAAAGTGGAGGGGGCTGGAATGTAGCTCAATGCAAAGGCCTGGGTATAATCCCTAGTACTTCTTCAAAAAGAAAGGAAAGGAAGTTAATTCAGCTCTGGTACTCTGTGGCATAGGATGTGTGATTTTGGGCAAGATATTTAAACTTTCTGTGCCTCTGGCTCCTTCTCTGATCACAGAGCAGTAGGAACACAGGGTGAGAGGATGCCTATGAAGTGGTTAGCACAGGGCCCAGCTCATAAGCTATTATGATTATCTCACATGTATTCCAGGAAGGAAGTAAAATGGGGATTAAAAAGCTTAATGGAGCAGCAGTTTGAGGCAGCACCAGAGCACCACGGTTCTGAAGCATTAGTTCTCCAGGATTGCCTGCTCATTATCTTGGGACTGGCATCCTTACCTTAAGTCACTGTCTAAGTGCCCTACACAGAGCATCTCATACATGTCTCACACTCTCTGAGAATGGTACTGTTATCATCTGTACTTCATAGATGAGCAAACTGAGTACCAGTGAGGAAAAGGGACTTGCCCTGGCACAATGGTCACTGTACTGTGCTACCTGGATCCCCTTCCTTCTTCGTGATTGTATGTTCCTGGTGACAACTCTTGGCTGAACTCCTCTTCCCACTACCCTAGGCAAGGAGCCTCCTACAAGCTCACACCCCCTCACCGGGGACAGCCTATGACCAGTGACTGATTAATGCCTGGTACAGAGATCTGACCCCTTAGTCTCGGTTTCAAAAAATTCTGAAGGGCCAGTCCCATGCGATAGGCTGTATCTTCATCACTGCTACCCTCTCAATCTCTCTGCCTAGCCTTGTTTCCCCTGCCCCAAATTCCTAATGAAAGCTACACAGAAATCTCCATGAGTCTGTCCAGATAGCCCATCCCAGATACAGGCAGACAGTAAAGCCAATTTTCCTTCAAGCCTTATTGAAGTAGAGCATAAAGGTCAAACCCAGGTAGGGCTGTGAGGAAGTGTTATATTTTTGGGAGTATGGCCTAGGACAGGAGTCATCAACCACTTTTACCTGTAACCTAGTTCTTCCAGTTCAAACTCACAGGCTTGAATATAGCTGAGGCATATGTGCTGCTCAGGGAGCCAGACCCACCTCACAGGCACTGATGACAGCATGGCTGCTACCATCCCTCCTGAAACAGGGAATCTGAAACTCAGTTCAGTGAGAAAACCATGATCTGGTGATGCAGAGGGGCCATTGTGGGAGCTAATGAAAACTTTCCTTGAGGCCAAGTAAGTGGAGAGATGTAAAACAGCACCCTTAGCAGGAAAAGCGGGGAGTCAGGGAAGTGAGCCACTGGCCTCAACCCAGACTATGAGTTGGAATCCTGTTGCCATGGCAACTCTGCAGTCCTCTCAGCATCCTACCCTGAATTGGCGGGGGTAGGGAGAAGTCCACAGATGAGAAAACTGAGGCCTAGTCAACCAAATGGTTAGGCAGAAAACAAGGTGGGAACTCTACCTCCTGTTCCCTCCTTGTTTCAAGGGGCCCACATGCCTCCCCACTACCACTTCCACATACTCACAGAGAATTGGGACAATATTCAGGCTGAGGAAGGCGCCGACCCTGGGCCAGGAAGTAGATGAGGTCGAAAGGGTCAATATGGGGGTATGGTGGGGCACCCCGTGTTAGCAATTCCCACAGCAGCACACCAAATGACCACTGTAAAAAGGGATAAGTGAGAGGACTGAACTCTTACCTCAATTGTGGGGTAGATGAAACACCCAGGCCCTCTACCTCCCAGAGTCCTTCACTTGGGAATCCAGGACCCCACCTTCCACTCAGAGCTCATTCCTGAATCTTGTTCATGTGTCTTCCCTCTCAGCCTCCCCAGAGTTAGGTTTGGGCAAGCTCTGAATGGCCTGTGAGGAGCCAATGAGTTCTTATCTCATCGTTGTCTTATAGGTGTCAGATTCTATTTCACATCTGCCGAAGAGGTGGACCAATGAGCTACGGAGGTTGTCTAACTGGGGCTTTACAGGTTTCAGATCATGAGGAGCTGAATGGGGAAGGCCAAGTCTCTAGGACATTGAAGCTATGATGTGGACCTAGGGCAGGTGGGGTCTCACCACGTCAGACTTGGTGGTGAATCTGTAGGTCTGCAGGCTCTCCAGTGCCATCCACTTGACAGGTAGGCAAGCATGGTGCTGCTGACGGACACTGTAATAATCCTTGTCCAGGATGTCACGGGCCAGACCAAAGTCAGCCACCTTGACTATGAATGACTCATCCAGCCTGAGAGGGGAGATCACATTAGAACCAACTCCCACCAGGCTCTAAACCCATCTCTTCCAGGCCTTTGCAGAATTTGAGAGCCAAGCTTATACCATGTAGACTGAAAAGCTGAGGCCCAGAGAGAAGGGTGACATGCCCAGGGCCATTCCCTGAGTTGGCCTTAGGCAGCTACCTACCCTCATTCCCTGCCCCTTGGTTTTACCCAAGATACTCACATGCAGTTCCTAGCAGCCAGGTCTCTGTGTACAAACTTCTGTTCTGCCAGGTACTCCATGCCACGAGCTACCTGCAGGCCGAAGCTGATGAGGTCCTTCACAGTGGGGTTCTGGGAGCACAGAGAGTATATGAGCAAGGGCAAAACAGCTCCATGTCCAGCTGCTGCTTACCCCGCCCATGCTCCCAAGGGCTGACTAGGCACTGACCCGTTGAGGTGAGCGGATGAAATGGAGCAAGTCTCCATGTCGCATATAGGGCAGCAGCACACGCGGCAGTCCCTCAGGTGGCAGCATGATCCCAATGAGAGCCAGAACATTTGGATGGTGCAAGCCACGCATGAGCAGTCCCTCGCGAAGGAAGGCCTCCACCTCCTGCACCTCTGTGATGCCTGGGAAATGGCTTACATCAGGCTTAGGGCAAGAAGGCCCTTCCCAAGGGTCAGATGGGAAAAATGGAGAAGGCTTCAGCACTTCTCAGCATCACTCCGGAAATTGGCAACACTGTAGAAGCAAGGAGCTTCCTAGCCTAGAGCTCCTCTCCAGCCTCTACTCCACTTACGATTCAGTGACTTGATAGCACAGTGGATTTGATTCTGGTCCTTATCTGTATATTCCCCATGGTAGACAACTCCAAAATGGCCTGTCAAGAGGAGATTAGGGTCGGGGATTTAGCTCAGTGATTCGGCTGCCTGCCTTGTAAGTGCAAGGTACTGAGTTCAATCCCCCGTACAAAAAAAAAAAAAAAAAAAAAAAAAAAAGAGGAGATGGTGAGAGGGAGCTTGGTGCCCAGGCTCACAGCATGCCCTGTCATTGGCATCCAGACTTCAGACTACCAAACAGATCTATCTGATATTAAAAACAAATGGCAGCCAGGTGCAGTGACATCTGCCTATAATCCCAGAACTTTGAGAGGCTAAGATAGGAGGATCACAAGTTCAAGCCCAGCCTGGGCATCAAGTTTGGACACTGTCTCAAAATCAAAAATAAAATCTGGGTGTGGTGGCGCACACTTGTAATCCCAGCACTTGGGAGGCTGAGGCAGGAGGATTGCTGTGAGTTCGAGACCAGCCTGGGCTACATAGTGAGTTCTAGGACAGTCTCAACTACATAGTGAGACCCTGTCTCAAACAAAACAAAACAAACAAACAAACAAAAGAACAAAATAAAAAATAAAAAAGGGTGTGGGATATAACTCAATGTGGAATCCCTGAGTTCAATCTCTAACACTAAAGGGGGGAAAAAAGGCAAAGGCTTCAGTATGGTAGAGCCTGCAGCCTTCCCACATCCACTTAATTTACACCAGAACCTGTTGAAGGTAGAATTTTCCTAATCCCCATTTCATAGATGAGCAAAGGAAACTCAGAGAGGTGGTATAGTCTGGGTTATACAGGTTGGTGAGAAAGCTAGAGCAGAGTTTTGCTCAACTGTCCCTTGAACCTATGTTATCTTAGAAGTCTCTCTCTGCCCCAGCCCTACCAGGTCCCACACCTTTGCCAATGACTTGGTCACTGTGAGTGATCACTTGCTCATGAGGAATCAGTACATCCTTGACCTCAGCTAGGAGTGCAGAGTTCAGATCCCTGAGCCGGATGGATTCTGTCCGCAGCAGAGGGACGCAGGACCCTTCCTTGCTGCCTGAGAAGGATTCTCCGTGGACTCCAGTGGGAGAATGTGGACCATCAAGGGCAGAAAGTGCTGTAGGGGAGAGGGTATGATAGGCTTGTGGAGAGGGTGTGGCCCCAGCTTCTAGCACCTCTCTCATCTCACCAAGGTCATTTCTGTAGTCAGAACCTGAGTAGAGCACAGGCAGGAGCATAGCTCTAACAGTCTGGTCCAGGGATGCCAGCTCATCCAGGTTGGGAGAGAGGACTGTGGAAAGACAGCTTCAAGTTCCCTGGGAGCCAACCCCCACCAGGGAGGTGTGAGAGACCCCCAAGGCCTGGGCAGAGGGAGGATGTGGGGACTTGGAGATGTCACTCTTTGGAAGTAGAAGCTGAGTCAGGGTGGGAATAGGGAGCTCACCTAGTTGCTTCCTCCGACGCTGGTAGTTGAAAACTAGTGCAGCAGCCAGTAAAACCACAAGCAAGAGCAAGCCCAGCAGGACAACAAGGAGTATGTTCTGTGGGATACCCCCCGGGCCTGGCCGCACCACTCTGCCCAGGATGTGACAGTCACCATCTACACAGACCTGGAAGCAAATGGCAGCTCAGGCCTAGCCTATAGGCCTTCAGCGATGTTTCCCATGAAGGGCCAGCTGGGCTGTCTACCTGCAATGGGACACCATCCTTGCTGAGTTGCACCGAAGAAGGCAGGGGACAGACCACCACATCTCCTCGGAGCTCGTGCTGGCAGCTTTTACCATCCACAGTCACATTCACACCCACGCAGTCAGCCACAGCATCCAGCCCAATGTACTGCAGAGACAGTCATGCGGACCAGCCAGTGGCCTGGCTCCCACTCCATAACCCCTCCCTATCCCTGTCCCATCTCCCACACCTACCTGAAACTTAACAGCATGTTCTTCAGGCTTCAGTGGGGCTAGGCCTACACTGGGTGGACGAGGTGGGGGCAGGAAGCGAAAGCTGGGCAGTGTGAAGCCAGCAGCTCCATCTCCCTGGACACTCAGATTCCCTATCACCCACCCCCGGGGGTCTCGGACCACATATTCAGGCAGATGGCACTGATGCTGCTCCGGAAGCGGCCCATCACACTGCCGAGACCCACACAAGAATGGTTAGACAGGCGCCCCACTTGTGGCTGCCCCAGATTCCTCAGCATAGTATGAGTAAGGTTGGAGCTCAGAGACCTGGTCCAGCTTTCCTCCCTCCTGGCTGGCACCTACTCACCCTGTTCTCTACTGTCCTTTGCCCGTCATGGAATGACAGCATTAGTTGCCATGCTGAAGTCAGATGCTGGCCATGGATGGTGACATGGGAGCCACTACAGAGGAGAGCAGAGTGGTTTGTTTTGGGTGCTCTCTAAGGTTGGCTCTTTCATTCCTCAGAAGCTGATATGGACAAGAGATGACACTTACATATAGCCACAGTTAGGAGTGATACCCAGCACAATGGGGTCTTCCAGGTAGTGAAAGGTCCAGGAACCAGGCACCTTAGCACCCCCTATGTGCAGGCCAAGGGGGACACTGGCTGTAGAAGTACCAGGGGGTGTGGCACATACTATCTGCCCCTCGCTGACCCTGCAGGAATGAAAGATTGGGCTCAGGGATACCTCCCCCACAGCACTTATGATGGTCAGTCTTACCTCCTCCATAGTCTGCTAATCCCTTCCAGTCGCTCTGTTGGCTGCTTCAGCCACCCACCCACACACCATGGGTCCTAGTAAGCCCTTCATGAGAGAAGGGAGGGAATAGTTCCTCATAGCCTCAGTTGAGCCAGTAGACTCTGTGATCTGCTGTCTTGCCTCTGGACTGGAGGGGGAGAAGATCCTTCCTGAAACTGCTCCCTCACATTGACCATGTAACTGTGCCCTCTTCTCTCCACCTTTACAGATTTCAGGTACCTACTTGGTAAGGCTCCCCTAAATGGGGCCATGTGGTTTCCTATCTCCTTTCCTGGTAATACTCACTGTTTCAATTGGCATTGAGTTCCATTGATCAGCACAGCCCGGCTGGTGCCTATAGACAGGGCCTGGCCTTCAAGGGTGACACGGGTGCCCCCTGCCCGTGGGCCAAAGAGGGGTCGTACTGCTGTCAGCACTGGCTCCTAAGAGGGCATCAAGGTATCTTATTTTAGCTGGAACAGGCCCTACACCCTAACCCTTTCCCTTTTTGTACCATCCATTGGCCAAGGGCACACACAAGACAAGGAGGCCTCACCATGAAAGAGAAACCTTCCAGCACGGAGGTGCCATCTACACGGAAGTGCCTGCCTGGGAGCATGTTAGTCACAGTAAGGCTGACGTTCGTAGTCCCCGCTGACTGGCTGTGCAAGGGGTCCAGCTCACACTCAAGCTCCTCTACGAAGTCTTTCCGGGGTGCTGGGCTGCAGTACCAAGGAAACTGCCATGAGATTAGCCAGGATAACAAAGCCTGGCCACATGCTGGCCACTGGTCACAGGGCTCCTCTGAACCTGAGGATGACATCTCTCCCCTTCCTCTATGACAAGTAGGATTGGGCCAGGCAAGGATTAACATTTAATCTAAACCATGACTAAACAGTTGGGTAGGGCACATGCAGGCTCAAAAAGGGATAGAGACATTTCTCCAGGCATGGGGCAGCCAGAGCCACTGCGGCTTGCTCCATATCCCCTAACCCTGATAAGCAAAAGACAGGAGTTACACATGGAAGGGATTTCTTGGTTGCTCCCATCAGTGATAGAGGGAGGACAGAGACCAGCTCATACCTGAGATCTGAGGTATCCCGAAGCAGCAGCTGGCAGGGACTTTGGCCCACTGTGACCTGATAGGTTCCCTCAGGTACCAGAGAATCAGAGTGCCGGTAGAAGTTGGAGCCACACAGAGTCAGCCTTGTACTGCCCCTTAGGGGCCCACTGTGGGGGTAGAACTGAAGCCAGGGAAACAGAGAGGCTGAGTTCTTGTGTATAGTTGAGCTCTCTTCAGTCCTCTGCTTCCTTCATACCCTTTGTCTGCCCCACATTTGAACCATTCTGGGTTACTTGTTTATCCTCATTCAAGCATTTTCCTGCCTTCAAAGTCTTGGCATGTGCCATCCCTCTTTACATCTTATAGATGTAAAGGACATTCTAGGCTTGAGGAACATCATGGTGAAGGCTTACTGACTCCCACCACAGGCCCTGCTTATCCCACCCTTACCTGTGCCCTGCCAGGAAAGCTGTACCTCAGTAAGCTTAGGTGGACAGTGATCCTGTTGCCAGGAGCCAGGACACTCTTCCTGTCTGCCACATATGTCCCCACACCAGCCACAGCCCATGAAGCGCTGTGTTCGCAGGCAACCCCTACAGGTGAGGAAATGGTGGCAGCCAGGCCCTCTGATGGGTACCTGGAAGACCTTAGGGTAACAAATGGGTAAATCAGGGATGCTTGAAGGAGGAAACCAGATCCCATAGACTCTACTGATCCCACTGTAAACTGGTACCTGTATTTCAATATCTCCCTAGACGATCCCACCACCCTGACCCCAGACTGTGACCCTGCCTACCTCACCTGGTCCCCAGAGGTAAAGAGCAAGTGGTCTCCAAGGCGACTGACATCTCGCTGTATGGGCTGCCCACTGCTGCCCAATGAGAAGTTGGACACATACAGCAGGTAGTTGAGTGACCTGGCTAGCTCCACCTGAGACAGGTCAGCTATAAGTAAAACAGACATGGGGACAGGAAGACAGGGATGGGGGTTGTGAAGGTAAGAGACTTACCTGCAGGATACGCCCATCAGTTGTGCCCATGTGGGCCACTGTGACATTGCCAAGGCGTGTTACATACAGAGCAGTGATGTGCACTGGTCCTAAAAGCCCGTTGAATAAGTCCACACGTGGGAAGCTGCTGCTGACCAGCAGAGGGAAGTAATGGCAGCTGATGTTGAGGCTAGGGGCCTCCGAGACTGGCTAAAGAGGGTCAGCGAAGAAAAGGAGGGTTTAGCTTCTATCAGTGACCACAACAGCTCCACACCTGGCCTAACTAGAGAAGGCTCTTGGCTTGCCAGTTACCTGCTCCTGCTCCTCACAGGGCTTTCAGCGGTAGCAAAGTCTGGGAAGTAAGGAGGCCCCAGCCAGAAGGCCAGTCCCCTACTCCCTGCCCTATCCTACCATATCCATTGTGGTGAGAGTCACTGAGTCTTACAGACAAAACCTCACAACCAACCTGCAGAGTGGACAGGCTCAGAGAGGTTTGACCTCAGGAGAGGAGCCAAGTTGGAAATTTGTGCTCTTAACCAGAGTCCTCTCCTGCCCCCTGCTGGTTCTGCTCTGCCTCTGCAAGTGTTCCTCATCAAATCTTGTTCCTTATGAGCTTCAGTTTCCACAATTGTGTAAGAGGGTAACCTTTGAGGTTAATTGGCCAGCACTCTGGTAAATTATGCCTTCTCTCTGAGACTCCAAAGATCCTCCTGCACCTCTAGCTGCTACTTATACTTCCCTCGGGTCCAGAAGGGATAAAGCAAGGCCCTATGAACTGAGTGCTCAGCTAGGCCGTAGAGCCTGGGAGATGCTAACCTCTTTTCTGCTCTTAGCAAGGGGTATTTGGGGACTGCACTTCTGGGGCATGACTGTGGAAGCCTCTGGGAAAGTAGGAACACGTGTGTGAATTAGAGGTGCTGAGGCTGGGTTTGAGATGCAGGTGAGACTCAGTAGCCAACTCTAGGTGCTCAAGATTCCCTTTCATGCACTGAGGGCACTCCTCAAGGTAAGGGTTTCTGGAGCCCCATAAACCCAGATTTAACCCACTTCTGAGACTTCAGAGCATAACAGGAGCTGTGGAGCAACAGCAGGTACAGACCTGGGTATAGACTTGCCCCACATCCTGGGTCTGTTGCTTGTGTGGGTGGGGACGAGGACTTTGTCTAGCTAAAAGCCTGCCAGGTGTTTTCAGCATGACTCAGTGACAGGTGGGGCTCTGGGGCTGAAAGGAAGCCCTGATACAGTCAGGGCCACAGCCCTGTTTGCTTGCTCTAGAGTCTTAGCTCTGGGTCTTAAGCTTTACTAGGGGTCCTTGGTCCCTAAAAACACTTGTCTTAAATGTACGATGCCCCATAGAGGACCTGAGCTGCACCTAGACCCATGCAGGACAGGATTACCCAGAGCCAATCACCATGAGCACACAGTGAGTGCTGCCCCAGCAGCTGCACGCCCAGAGTCATTGGACAAACATTGCTTCACACACCTCCTGGCAGCCTGTGGCGAGGGCCTAAGGTTAATCTTCCTGGTGCCCTGTGCTGCCCACCCATGCTGGGTATCTTCTGACCTACTGACTAGTCAATTTAGGAAGAGTTTCTGACTCCCCAGAGGGAGGATGATGGGGCCAGGCAGGGCTGTCCAGTGCTGGACAAGGAGTCCCCACCCCCTGTGCCTGTCAATCTAAATGTATTCCGCTGAGGAAAGGAAGATGAAGATCCCCACTCCACCCTGGGTGTAAATGCTCCCACCTCTGGGGCCTCCACTGGAGCTAGAAAGCAGTGAGTTGAGAATGTCACAGGAGAGCTAGGGGGCTGGAGACTCAGAACAGTCGCTGTGGGGTCAATTTGATGAAAGACCATTCATCCATTGCTCCATTCAACCATTTCTTTGGCCTAAATCTTTGAGAGTATACGAGTATTATCCCAGGTGGGACTATTTGAATGGCTTCCAAGACTGAATTTCAGTTTTGTTTTCAAGGTAAGTCTGTTTGTTTATTTATTTATTTTGGTGATGCTTGGGATTAAACCCAGGAGGACCTTGCACATGCCATTCTACCACTGAGCTACATCTCTAGGCATCAAGGTAGCATTTAAAAGAATATCCTGTTTGCAATAACAAACTCTCTAAGAGAAAAAAATGAAAAAGAAAAGAAATACCTAGGAATCAATCTAATGAAGGATGTAGAAAACCTTCACATTGAAAACTACAGTAGTCTGAGAAAGGAGATCAAAGAAGATACCCGAAAATGGAAAGATGTCCCTCATCTTGTGTAGGAAGAACCAATATAGTGAAAATGGCCAGGGCCAGGGATTTAGCTCTGTGGCACCATGCCTGCCTCACAAGCACAAGGTTCTGAGTTTGATCCCTGGTACCAAAAAAAGAAAATGGCCATACTTCCAAAATTGTTACACAGATTAGCCGGGCATGGTGGCGCACTCCTATAATTCTAGCACTCAGGAGGCTGAGGCAGGAGGATCGCTGTGCGTTCAAGACCAGCTTGAGCCACATAGTGAGTTCCAGGCAGTCTTAACTACATAGTGAGACCCTGTCTCAATCCCCCCAATTGTTATACAGATTTAATGCAATTCCAATCAAAATACCAATAACATATCTCATAGAATTAGAGAAAACAATCCTAAAATTCATTTGGAAGCAGAAGAGACCTAGAATAGCAAAAGCAACTCTGGTCAACAAAGGCAAAGCATGGAGCATCACAATCCCTGACTTAAAATTATACTACAAATATACTGTGATAAAAACAGCATGGTAATGGCAAAAAAAAAAAAAGACCTGAGAATGAAAGGAGCAGATTAGAAGATGCAGAAACAACTCCAAACAAACTCAACATACCCTTTGACAAAGCGGCCAAACACCTTTACTGAAAGAAAGACAGCCTTTTTAATAATGGTGCTGGAAGAACTGCCTTTCCACATGCCAAAGATTAAAACTAGATCCATGTCTTTCACCATGTACTAAACTAAAATAAAAATAGACCAAATATCTAAATATTAAAACAGAAACACTAAATCTGCTGGAAGAGAGAATAGGTAGAACTCTTTTTTTTTTCTTTCTTTTTTTGGTACCAGGGATCAAACTCAGGACCTTGTGCTTGCAAGGCAGGCCTGCACACCACTGAGCTAAATATCTCCTGCCCCAAGAATAGGTAGAACTCTAATAGACATTGGTATAGGCAAAGACTTTATGAATACAACCCCAAGTGCACAGAAAATAGCACAAAGAATCAACTACTGGAATCTTATCTTACTAAAAAGCTTTTGTACAACAAAAGAAACCAACAGAGTAAAGAGACAACCCACAGTGTGGGAAAAAAATTCTTGCCAGTTGTTCTTCAAACACAGGATTACTATCTAGAATATATAAAGAATTTGTTAAAAATCAGACTTTACAAATTTAAAGAACCAACCCAAAAATGGACATCTGAAATAGACACTTCTCAGATGAAGCAGTAGAAATGGCATATAAATATATGAAAAAATGTTCAACATCACTGGTCATTCAACAGATGCAAATTAAAACAATGCTGAGATTCCATCTCACTGAAGAAAGAATGGCTGTTATCAAGAAACCAACCAATAGCAATTGCTGATATGGGGAAAAAGGAACCACTGTGGTACAACTACTGTGGAAATCGGTGTGGAGATTCCTCAAAGAACTAAAATGAAAGGTTCGATTCAACTCAGCTATTTCTCTTCTTAGTATCGTCCCCAAAGAATTAAAAGCATCATACCACAGCAATATATGCACACCCATATTTACAGCAGCACAGTTTGTAATAGCTAAATAGCCCAAATGCCCATCGACTAATGAACGGATAAAGAGGATTTTTTTAAATAATGGAGTACTACTCTGCCATAAAAAAGGATATGCTTAGGGCTGGGGATATAGCTCAGTGGTGCTGCCTGGCAAGCTCAAGGTCCCAAATTTGATCCTGGGTACCATACACACACAAAAAAAGAATTAAAAATATCATACCACAGCGATATATGCACACCCAAGTTTATAGCAGCACAGTTTGTAATAGCTAAATCTTGGAAGCAGCCCAAATGCCCATCAATCAATGAATGGATAAGGAAGATGTGGGTTTTTTTATACAATGGAGAACTACTCTATCATAAAGAAGGATGAACTTCAGACACTTCTAGGTAAATAGATGCACCTTGAGACCATACTCTCAAGTAAAACAAATCAGATATACATGTCCAAATACTGCATTGCTTCTCTGGTGTGAGAAGCTGAAAGTGTAAGTAAGGACCAAATGTATAATAGATATTAGAAAATGGGAAGAAAATGTTCAAATGAGAAGGGGATCAAGGGAAACGGGGGGAGGAAAGAAGGGACAAGAAAGAACAGAAGGAAAAATGGAAGCAATGCTTTTGTATATAAGGAGGGGAAGAGGGGTTGAGGGGAGGGGAATGGGGAAAAAAAAGCAAGATATATCTTGCACGTACAGGTACAAATTCCCTACAATGAATGTAATCATTATGTATATATGAAATATATCAATAAAATTCATATTGTTGGGCTGGGGATTTAGCTCAGTGGTTCTACCGCTTGCCTTGCAAGTGCAGGGACCCAAGTTCGATCCCCAGTACCAAAAATTAATCAATTAATTAATTAATTAACAAATAATTCGTATTGTTTTTTTTAAAAAGTCAGAGACTTAGCTCCATGTCACCACGCCTGCCTCACAAGCACAGTCCTGAGTTTGATCCCTAGTACCAAAACAAAAAAAAACAAAAAAAACAAAGGATATCCTGTTTGTTTCTATCACCTGCCTACGAAAGAGCCTTAGTTATACTGATGTGGCAGTTGGTTGAATTAATTCCAACTAGCCCCTTCTAGTGTAACTGGCACTAAAAAATAAGTTTTTTTGTTGTTGTTTTTGAGGCCCGAGCATATGAGCCTAAGTGGCTGGTAAAACTAGGCTTTTACTCATCCTCTGATGTTTATAGTTACTTGAACAGACTGGGGTGAGGACAAGCCAAGGTTACACTGCCTTCTTATTGTGTCCTGGCCTGTTGTGTCCTGGGTCCTTCTCCAATCACCCTATGGAGAATGTAAGGATGCCATAGTGAAGCACAGGACATGCAGGTTCTCTAATAAGCCCCCAGGTTTCCAGGGCCTGAGATGCTTCCTGGAATCTGGAAGGGTGGGGAGGTTCTCCAACAATTCAGGCCTGCCCTCTTTCGAAAGCAGAGCAAAACAAGTGCTCCCATTACAGAAAGTGAAACTGTGCTGGCCACTGGTTGTGTGTATGAACATGCAAGCATCTGCCCATGTACTTGTGTATGCAATTTTTCATGTGTCTCTGAGGGTATGGGCGATGGGCAGATGGGAGGGGATGCCTATCAGTCTATCCAGAATTTGGTAGCTGTGCTGGCAGAGAGATATTATGATACAATCTCACCTTCATATAACATTTTTTAGGGAAACTACTTAAAAAACCTAGAGGCATGATGGCTGTGAGAGTGAAAGAGCAAAACTAGGCAGCAAGGTAGGGCCAGTCTGGCTGGAAGATGAACCTTAGTGTGGCTTTGTTTGATCCACCTCTCACACTGGCCCCATTAATTAGGAATTGGATAGAAGACGATGCATCTCTGCCTGCCTGCCCTCCCAAGCCCTCACGATGATGGAAGGGAAGCAGCCTATTCCAGTCATAGGCAGACTGAATCATCTGGGGCCCCTTCTTTCTGCTTACCGGGTTAGGGCAAAAGCTGGGTGTCTGGAAGAAGTCGAGGCCTCTACGAAGGCCAGGGTTAACAGGGGACTCACAACAGCGTTTCACACCCTCATCGATTAGAGGGTTCAGCAGGTCAATGGGGAAGGCGCAGACTACAGAGTTAGGGCCCATGCCAGTGCCACTACCCCTGCCAGTCACAAAGACCCCAAATAGCACTTCACGGCCCTCAGTGATGCTTAATTCAGTGGCAAGCTGGGCACCCACATGAGCAGCATGGGCTGCCTGAAGCACTGGGTAGGACTGCCTGCCCTCTGGGGTCCTGCGGCGACGTTTAGGTGCAAAATAGCAGTCGAGGATCAGCTCCCGATAGTCACCTAGCTCTGGCTCCAGAGCATTGAGCCGTGCCAGGCGCGTTTGTAGGGCACCAGGAGTGTCTATCACACTAGCAGGCTGCACAGTCAGGAAGTAGACAAAGGCTCCTGAGTGGAAGCTGTGCACATATTGGATATGGTAGGAGTCCAGGTATTTGGGCAGCACTGACAGTGCGGAAAAGCCTGTTTCAAATCCTGAGGCATCAGCCCTGAGGCGTCGTATGGACACGGAGTTGGGGCTGAAGTTGGCAGCCACTGTGGTGTTCAATGAGGATGCAACATAGAAATAAGACGCCTGGCCCTGCTCAACCACAGTCACACGGGTGCCCAGGGGGCTGGCCACACAGTCAGGGCAGTCCTCAGGCAGGTTTCGGTGGGCAGAGAAGAGGCAGGCTGGTGCCGCCAGGTGCAAGGCTGTTTCTCGGAGCTCCAGCTCATACAGGAAGCAGCGGCCCTGCAAGCTAGAGCCACAGCTGACCAGTGCGGGGAGCCCAGGCTCCAGCACCAGCACCAGTGTGTCTGTGTCACCTGGTGGGCTGTGGGGTCCTGGTCCACAGGCTGCACAGGTCTGGCAGCTTGGGTCTCCGGCAGGGCCAGTGGCCACGCTCTCCACAAACTGCAGGTCAGGCCCAAGCACATGCAGGCGATTGCGTGTGGCTACAAACACGGCATTGCCGTCCTGGCCACCCTCATAAGTCAGTACAGCTTGCACTGGGCCGCCGGCGGAAAAACAGGGCACTACATACCTCACATCAAAGTCACGGGTGGCCGTGTAGGGCGTGCGCGGGCACTGCCAGTCCTTCTCTGTGGAGGTCACTGCAGACAGCCGCAAAACCAGCAGAAGCAGCAGGGACCAGGAGGAGCTCCATTGAGGCCAACCAGAGCCCCTTGGGGATCCCGCGGGTGCGGGCCTGACTGGGAACAGCGTGAAGCGGTGGTTCCGAAAGCCCATGGGCAGCCGACCTTTGGCCTAGGTTTCCAGGAGTCCTGCCTCTCCCGGGCGCAGACGGACGTGCGCTGGGAACCAAGAGGTTGCTCACCTGCCTCCCGGTAGCGTTTCAACCCAGTGGACCCGAGGGCGGCGGGCAAGGCCGGTGGGGCGGAGCTGTGGGCGGGGCCTGCCTAACGTCAGGCTCTCTGACTCCGCGGATCCTTGGAAGTCTGGCTCCTAGAACTTCTCCTGGGCACCTAAATCTCGGTGGCCTGAGGGTGTGTGTCCATGGAGTGACGAGGAGAGAAGTGAACAGGCCTGAGTCATTTGGCCCCCCCACAACCGACCGGCTCGAGGAGTATGGCTCTTGTTCCGGTGGAGCTAGTTTACACTATGACTCACCAATTCCCACAACTGGGAACAGAGAAGAAGAATCCGTGGAAGGAGCCAGGAATGGTGGTGTATTTCTGTGATCCCAGCAGTTGGTAGGCTGAGGCAAGAGGATTTCTGCGAGTTCGAGGCCAGCCTACACTACAATAGTGAGTCAAGGCCAGCCAGAAGTATATAGCAAGACCCTATCTTAAAAAACAACAAAACAAAACAAAAAAATGCATGAAAGACTAGAGTGAGATTGAGGAGCTCCAGCAAGGCATGTTGTGGGGTTCCACCCTCTATGAACAAGGACCACACTTCCACACACCTGCTCCGAGCAGTCAGTGTTCGAGGAAAGTATGTTGTGCTCTGCTTTCCCAGGGCACAAAGTCCTGCTGGCTGGACAGTAAGAAGTGGTTTATGTGAAGGCTTAACCCTAAATCTGATTCCTCCACTACAGCTTTAGGATGTGGAAGCTGTAGAATGGGAGTACAAGCCACAAAGGAACTCTCAGCCATGCATGGTGGAGAAATCCTAGCACTTGGGAGGCTGAGGCAAGTTTGAGCCAGGCCTGGGCAATTATCAACTTAGTGAGACCTTGTCTAAAAGAAAAAGGCCAGGGTTTTAGCTCAGTGGTGCCATGCCTGCCTTGCAAGCACAAGGTCCTGAGTTTGATTCTCAATACAGGGGGAAAAAGGCTGAGGATGTAACTCAGTGCAAAAGCTGTAGGGTCAATCCCCAGTACAAACAAAGAAGAGGAGAAGGAGGGAGGAGGAGGAGGAGGAAGAAGAAGAAAAAGAAGAAGAAGAAGGAGGAGGAAGAGGAGGAGGAAGAAAAAGGGGACTCCTGTGACTGCCTCTGCTCCAGTGCCCTGCCCCCTTGGGGGACATGGACTTTGGCTTCCAGGCCACTCTAATCTGATTTGTGAGCCTTGCTGGGCCTTAGTTTTTCAGTCCTTGAAATGAGAATGCAGTTCTGGTTAGAGGGTTGCCCCAGAATCCTGGGAGAATGGGCTGATGAGTAGAGCCTATGCCTACTTTGTCATCTCCTTCCCTCACCTCAGCATCTATCCTCTGCCAACACTGGAGGAAGACCTGGTGGAATCCTGACATCCTCTCAGCCTGGTGCACCCCAGAGGGAAGGGAAGCCTCATAAGTGACCCACGCTAGACCCTTCCCCCTGCTTCCCTCGCCTAACCTTTGTTTTGTTGTTTTGTTTAGCATCTATCCTCTGCCAACACTGGAGGAAGACCTGGTGGAATCCTGACATCCTCTCAGCCTGGTGCACCCCAGAGGGAAGGGAAGCCTCATAAGTGACCCACGCTAGACCCTTCCCCCTGCTTCCCTCGCCTAACCTTTGTTTTGTTTTGTTTTGTTGTTTTTTGAGACAGGGTCTCACTATGTAGTTGAGACTGACCTGGAACTCACTATGTAGCTCAGGCTGAGCTCAAATTCACTCTGCCTCAGCCTCCTGAGTACTGGGATTACAGGCGTGAGCCACCATGCCCAGCAGCCCTCTCCTAACCTTTTTAAATGCTATTTGTCATCCTTCCAGGAGCACCCTTCCCCTTTTCCCTCCTTGCAATTTAAGCAGGACCTCCCCCAGGAACCCTTCAGGACTCAGCCTTCCTCAAGCCCCTCTCTTGGTTCCAAAGAGCCTGAACTACACCAACCCCAGCATAAGTCACTCTGAGTATTCCTCTCTTTCTCCATCCCCAGGTCAGGCTTTCCCCTCCTGTTAGACTGGAATTCCATGAACACCTAGTGACTGAGAGGAAAAAGGACATGGAGTGGCCACACCCATGCATAGAAGACACTGTGCCTCCAGCAACATAAAAAGCACTCCTTTCTGGAACCAAAATTGGCTCAGAAATGAATGAACACCCAGTAGAATCCCTGGCATGATTCCAGATTTTTATGGTCAAGGTCTAAAAATAGTCACACAGGACAAAAACTGAAATGAAATACTTTTCACCTGGGATCCAGGTGGCAGGAGAGATTTTGGGGATTAGGAGTAGGTTTCATAAACCTTCCTAGGTAGATCTGGTGGCCCGCCCTAATTTTGGAGGTGTGGTGCAGCAGCCATCAGTTAGTTCTGTGATGCCACGTGGCACCGTGGTGGCTGCCCCAATGCTGATACTCCCTCTTGGGCAGACTTGGTCCTCAACAGCAGGATTTCATAAGTACTCTTTCTGTCCTCTATTTATAGGTTCTGCAAGAGGGAGCAGGTGAGGTGTGTGAAGGTTGGTTAATGGGAAACACAAGCACTTTCTAGAGGTAAACTCACTAGGCCTGCCTCACTGCCCTGGCAACTTGTCACAATGAACAAGTGCTAGCCACTTGGCCCTTCCTGGGCTCCCAGTCTCCTCTGAACAATACTCCACAAGACTAGGCCCAGCCTCTTTCTCCAACCCAGAGATCACTTCAGTGGTAACAAAGGCTTCTCTTTAACTGCAATATGACCACATACACTGCAGCTTTAAATGATTCAGCTTTAAATGACTTTTATCTGGAGATTGAAAACCCCAAGGCCGTGTAGACTCTTTCAGCTTCATTGCAACTGTTATGCCAGGTTCTTTACCAGGTCCTTCCCTTTGTGTATGCTTGTTGCCCAACTAGGAACATATTTCCTATTTGCCTTTCATCCCACCTGATTCCCAAATAGTAAAACCCCACAATCCTACGTGACTATTGTCCTAGGTACACACACTTATCTGTGACCCTCCCCCTCCTATCGCTGACCAGAATAGATGCTAAACTATAAGGAAGCTGAGAATCTGCAGGCAACAGGGTAGCCAGAAGAAGTGCTTCAGGCTACTGACCAGAACACCTATAAGTCAGGGAGAGTGATCTTGCATCATCCTGGTCCTTGAGGCAGTGGTTTGGTGTCCAGATCAGGAGGAAGGGGAGGAAAAGAAGCACAGATCAGTTGGGTATGATGGTCAGGCCTATAATCCCAGCTACTCAGGAAACAGAGGCAGGAGGATTACAAATTCAAGGCCAACCTGGGAAACTTAGCCAGACCCTGTATCCAAATAAAATCTAAAAAGGGCTGAGGATGTAGCTCAATGGTAGAGTGTCCTGGGGTTCAATCTGAAGAAGGAAGAGAAGTGGTGGTGGTGGGAATCACAAAATAGGCAGAAAAGAAACCCCAGGCATACATACAGGGTGTGCAGCCCCCAACAAGCCTGGGGCTGCTCCCCAAGGGGCTGTGGAATCTAGGAAGGTGACCTACTACCATACTAATCTCAATGTGATCTAGGTTGAGGCCAATGACAGAAGCTATGCTGCCATTTCCTAGGACAGTAAATACAACTATACAACTAACTTTGTGCATCCTTGGCCCATGCAACCCACACAGACACATCCTCCAACATTGGTTTGCCGTCATAAAATCTTAGCCCAACTTTCAAGATACTGCATGAGGGTAATTCTGACAGTCTGAAGATTATGTTCATTCAGTGGACAGTTTTCTCATAAACACTCCCTAGGCCTTTTGCTTTCTTGGCCAACATCAAGGTGGAGGCCTCCCATTGTGCCCTGGGTTCTGCAAAGGTCCCATGGTAGAGATGGTAGAGTGAATGGGGCTGCATATTTACCACTCATGTCCCTGGGATGGGTCTTTACTGGGATGTCCCTGGTGCCTCATGTAGGTCTGACAATGCCAGGCCGGGGAATAGGGTGATGAAGAAGGCCCAGAATAGCCAGCAGCATCAGCCTTATGAAGGCAGATATGTTCTCTGAAGTTCTATAATTCAAGTGATTTCCTCTCAGATTCTGTAGCTCAGTGATGGCAAACCTTTTAGAACTTTCAGTAACATCTTGTTGTAGCATGTGTGCCATGGGTTCACCATTATTGTTCTAGCTCATTCTTAGGTGTCATTCTGAGGAATGTGCTGCCTAAGGATGGGGACCTGAAGCAGACTGCCCTTCATGAGAGGCCTAAACAAGGAAAATTTCCCCAGAAGTCTGTGGGTACAAGGAGAATGAACTCTGAATTTGTGCTGAACATCAGGCTGCCTGCCAAGTGCTCTCACTTGTCCTGAAGCCCAGATCACCCCACTTTCATCATTCTTGTCTTATTCAGCTCAGCCCATGCTGAAGTACAGCAGTCCATGAAGTGAAGCCACAGCCAGAGATCTGGTGGTAAGGTGGTCCTTGGGGCATGCGACTAGAGATCCCATCCAGGGGCGTAGAGCTGAGGCAGGCATTGTGGCACACTGAGGAGAGCAGAGGAGCAAGGGTAGGACAGTGATGCCTGTCAAACCTTTACATTATATATGCTAGGACTTCAGCTGAATCAAAACAGCCCCAACTCAGGTCCAGCTTAGAATGTGTGACCTCATGTTGGTGCAAGGGCAGAAAGAAAGGAATGTGTCTGTGACTCTTTGTATGAGGAAACACATCCAGGGCTGGAGAGGATCTACTCTGTATGTGAGAGTCAAGGGGTGAAAGAATCAGTGGCAGGGCACAACAAATATCTTCCCCAAAGCAGTTTAATGTACCCAGCAACCCACAGTCCCTGCCTGCTGGCTGGGCAGGAGAAGCCAGCCCCACCTGGAGGCTCCCATGGCTTCTCATGTCCAGTGGTCCTGGGAGGGCCGAGTCTGCACACATTCCCATCAGTAGGTGAGGGGCGTGAGGATGAAGAGGCGGTCTTCCTCTTTACGGATCCAGCGCATCAGCTTATGGATGGCACTGACAGCTGATGCCTTAGTCCCCAGAGGGCTGTAGCACATGTAGAGCTCAAAGGCGCCTGTCACCTAGATGAGGGGGCAAAGGGTGATCATCTAGGATAGATGCCCCTTATGGCCTCTACCCAGAACCTCTACAAAGCCCAGTCCATCCAGGGCTACCTTACCCAGGCTAGGAGGTTCTCGTTGGGGCCTGTGTAGTAGATGGTCTTGAGCGGGCGGGAAGCATTGTGGGCTCGGCTGTGCAGGTACTGGTAAAGCCCTAGTAGTCGTTCCTGCTCCTCTTCACTGGTGTATGGGGCCTCAATCTCAGGACTATAGATAGGGAAGTGAATGTGCAGAGGCATGATTTCTACTACCTTCTCTGAAGATCTGGAAACACCTATTCCTAGCGAGGGAGACTCTACTACATGTCTCACACTCTCTAGATGCTTCTGTAGGTCATGGCATTGTCTCTCCACCACAGAAGTCTCCCTGGAAGGGACTGGTGCCTGCTCCCACTCCCACTCCCCAAGTTCATGGTGTCTTTGGGGACCCTTCATTGGAAAGGCCATTCTGAATTTCAGCATCCAAGAGAGTGACAAGCCTAGAGTACAGGAAAAAAGAACTAGGAAACCTTCTGGGCCAAAAGAGGCCAGAAGTTGAAACTTGTGTCCAGATCATTCACTGGGGAAGTGGGTGAGGAAAGGCTCTGTACTCTGGGCTAAACCAAAATGACGCCTAATATGGTTGCCCCAGAGCATGGGACCTGGGAATATTCTCTTCCAGCTTCTTTCCCTAGGCATATTGATCATTTCCAGGCTTTAAGGGTAATGAAGTAGAGCAGTGCAGGCCTGTGAGGGTTATAGAAAGTCTAGGTCTCTGGTGCCAGAATAAAAGAGCCCCCAACATGCTGGTCCACTCCTAGAGGGATGGTCAGGTTCAGGGCTGAATCCTATAGCTAAGGACCAACCAGGCTCCCCTTTCCCTACATCTGTGTTTCCCTGAAGCAGTGCCCTCCCTCACCTGGTGAAGAGTCCTGAGCTCTTGGACTTATAGAGGAAGTGGCGCAGATCAGGGATGCCCACTTGGGCAACACTGTAGTAGGGTGTGTGTAGCGCCTCCCGCAGTGCCAGGTGGGCTCCACGCTTGCGAAGGCGCTCCTGGAAGCGCCTGCGGCAGTCAGAGACTGTGAAGAAGTCCTCACGGTCAGTGGAGACAAGCAGCAGGCAGAGGTCAGTGTTAGGCTCCAGGTACGAGATGTGTGCATGGAAGAAGCCTGCTGAGTTGAATTTAGGCAGGCATACAGGCGTCCATGCCTCACCCTCACGGAAGGATGAGGAGGAACTGATGAGGTTGAAGAGCAGGTGCAGGTCAATGGGATGCAGGAATTGGTCCTTGCGGCGCACAAGTGCTACAAGCTGGTTGTGGGCCAGTAAGATGGAGAAGACCAGGCTGCGTGCACGTGCCTGCTGCAGGCTGGCACTCACAGCATCTCGCACAGCTGCAGCCAGGGGCAGACACCTTGCTGCCCCCATCAGAAAGCTGGGGTCTCGTGCCATAAGCTGTAGCAGGTTGTCAGTGATGCGCTCTGAACCTGAAAGCAGGCGTCGTAGGTCGTAGTTTTGCTTCTGCTGGAAGATGTGGCTCAGCTGCGCACCGGTGAGGAGGCTCAGGATCTGGTAGTAGATGTAGAGCAGCTCCTGAGCTAGCTCCTGTGCTGACTGCCGTGTGCGTGCCACTGCCACCAGTACCAGTGGGCTCCGGCGCACAAATACCACCTTGTAGCCATCTAGGGGCAGAAGAGGGTGTCAGCCTCAGCCCCTCCCTCAGGAGCCCTTCAGAAGAGGCCTTTCCCCACTCTGCCAGCTCTGCACAGCCCTTCACTTTTCACTTCCTCTCCTGGCTCAGAGCTCTGCACTCAGCAGAGGCTTAAGGGGTACAGGGTAAAGACAGGAGCCACACTGTCCTCTTTCCCTGTCACTGGCGTCACACATTGACTCTCTCAAAAACACAAGAAGCTCTTCAGCAAAACACACATTCTTGGGGCCAGGATTTAGCTCAGTAGTTCTACTGCCTGCCTCACAAGTGCAAGGTCCCAAGTTTGATCCCTGGTACAAAAAAAAAA